CACACACACACACACACACACAAACACACTTAAGCGACGAACTGCTTATCCTTTAATAGCTGTATAACAGCTGTGTACTATCTACACTCCTATACGGAGCTGAATGCTGGAGGATGACTGATCATGACATGGCCAAGCTATCGTCCTTTCCTACAACCAGCTTACGCCAAATCTTCAGAATCTTCTGGCCCGACAAGATTTCCAACGCAGCACTGTTCTGTAAATGTAGGCAAGAGGACATGACCACCATAATAAAAAGGAGAAGATGGAGATGGATTGGACATGTTCAGAGAAGAGAACCAGACTCTATTGTGAAGACTGCCCTCCACTGGACACCCGAAGGACGTCGCAAAAGGGGCAGACTCAAAGTGACCTGGAGGCGCACCGTAGAGTCTGAAATGAAGTTCTGGAATCATTAGTGGGGAACACTGAACAAGATGGCCCAAAACAGATAGAGCTGGAGATCGTTTGTGCTGCCCTAAACGCCAGAAGGCGTATTGGGTAGTAAGTAAGTAAGTTATCCTTTAATGATCTGTCCTACATAAGAAAAAAATAAACTTTGAATGATTATGTAGAAAGTATTTACAATCTTATCAAAGGATTTCTGTTTCTTTTTCTGTCAGCTGTCAGCAACGGGGAAAGTATTGTTCGCCTTGATATAACCGTCTTACCTCCGTAGATTTCCACTTCACACAAAGTGATGAGAGTGTACGTTTCCCGACATCTGTTCACTTTGGAGAACGTTATGTTCACGCTATTGACAGGTTCTGAGGTGCCCGAGTCCATAGTCACGATTTGTTGTGTGGAGTCTCCCCAGTACTGCTGACCTCTGCGAGACGTGTCGTAGTAGCTGCTCACGTTGAACTGTGTCAGTCGGCATTGATAGCCTGAGAGAGAGAGAGAGAGAGAGAGAGAGAGAGAGAGAGAGAGAGAGAGAGAGAGAGAGAGAGAGAGAGAGAGGGGGAAGGGGGGGGGGTAAGAGCGACATAGAGAAATTGCCTGTATTTGAACTGTGTGGTGCTCATGTTCTTCTTGTGTTGTTGAGCACATTGAACACTTTCTAACAGCGAATGCGCCATGACATAAGTGGAATTTCTTCTTCTTGTTCTTCTTCTTCTTGTTCTTTTTTCTTCTTCTTCTTCTTCTTCTTCTTCTTCTTCTTCTTCTTCTTCTTCTTCTTCTTCTTCTTCTTCTTCTTCTTCTTCTTCTTCTTCCTCTT